AGATCAGATTAGCCAAAAAAAATAATAGAAGGATTTTATTGTTATTACTCCATCAAAAAAAATGTTGTTTTATGACAAATATACTCATATCATAAAAATTAAAATCATACCACGGTATTCGCCTTTTTTTTAATTTTTAATCTTCAACGATTGTAGATTGACTTTTTTTCTATGCCCCTATATCGAATTAAACCCAAGAATCAAACTGATCAAGGTCATTTTTTTATTTATAAGAAATTGTATTTAAAACTCACCATATCCATTTTTATTTCCTTTATTATCTTATATATTAAAAACATAAAACTTGGTATGTTGACGAACAAAGTAATGGCAACCTGAAATAACAATGGTTTTGGAGATAATTTAAAAAAAAAGTTAGTACAAGCATAGAAATTAAATAGAGATAGGATATTAATTAATTATTATTTTTTTATAAAATAATAATAATAAGCCAAAATTGATAACAAGAATAGACCTTGAAGCTTTTGAAATTAATTGTCTATCATTTAGGTTCCAACCAACTTATCGATAAAATCGTTTAACTATAGGATTACTTCTCAAACAATTATTTTTTATGAATATTTAAGTATTAATTTAGTTATAATCATCACTTACTAAAATATTAAATGAACACTTGGCACTTTCAGTGAAATCGGCCAGCGATTTATATATATGTTGCATTTTCTTAGGTTTAAATTTTTTATCTTCAATGCATTTTTGTAAAGCCACTAGCAGTAGTTGGCTGCGTAGAATATGAACACCATAACAATAAATGGCAAATCCAGTGCAAGCAAAGGTACAAAATATAACGTTTGAAACCACCAAGTCATTATGCACTCTCCATTTCTTTGACAGTATATTGCTGCTATCGAAAATTTTGACAAGAAAGATATGATAAAACAAAAAATGATCTTCAAATCAATACTATTACAGGAATTTACACTTAGTTGGGTATCGATTGATTTTAATTTTTCTAGAAAATAACAAAAAGACTTATATTGTGGAGTAAGTAATAAGATAATATTGTACAACATGTTTTCAAACAAATATTTCGAGTACCAATATCTTAGTTCATTGGACATATCATGGAAGAACAGCAGCAATACACATAAGCTATTAAAGCATATAGAATATGCCGCGCCCAATAATTTAACAATTAATCTATGCTTCCGGGAGTTATATTTGATAAATCCAAAATCTACAGCAAATATTATTTGCAATAGTATGAAAAAAATTCGTAATGTTTTTGAGATTGGATATGATTTCATTTTCTCAGTCTCACTCGGTAGTTTCACTTGATTTGTTTGAGTAAGAAAAAAATATGTTATTAAGTAGGTATGTCTTGTCGATTTTTATGTTCAACGAATGATACAAAATAAACGTCCAATATAACTTTAACATGTTTAATTTTCATCAAATTAATTGATTTAATATTTAATGACCTACTTTATATTCAAAAGATATTATTTAGTATTAATACAATTGCTTTTACATTTATGAAATTATTGATCAATTTAAGTCATGAATTACGAAACTACTTTGGCTCTTCATATTGTCTGTATATTTTATTATTATTCACTTTTCTGTTACTCTAGTAAAAACATTCACAAATGTTTTATAGATATTTATACCTGATATATTTGTGTGAATATTTTATCACTTGAACATTATACTTTCTTAGATTTACGCGAATTTTTGACATCTATTTCTTATAAATGAAAATGAATGGTTAAATGTGTTGCTAAGCGCAAAACTCGAGAACGGCTGGACCAATTCGGCTACTTTTTTTTCAAATATTCGTTTTAAGTCCGAGGAACGTTCTTATGAAGAGAAAAATTGGAAAAATTTCACGGAAAAACATAAAAAAGCATATTTTCCTCCTTCCTTACTGCTACTTTATAATAATTATGAACGCACCCTTAAAATTAATATAAACTACATATTTCAATGTATGTGCAAATTGGATGCTTTCTCTTTCTACGATATACCTACAGTTTGACTTTCTTTGTTTGTCCCTTTTTCACGTGGAAACAGAGTGTTTGAAGTCATTCTTTGAGTGGAGATAGTTCGAGGGCTGGACATAGATAATTTACCGCGGGAGATTATCTTATTCCACGGAAAACATGTTATTTTTTATATACTATTCCATACTAACCGTTAAAACGTACCTAGGAATGAACCCGAGCGAAGAGACCCTCTCTAGTTGCTAGTTTTAGTTAGATTTTAGGTTCCCGACGTTTCGAATGCTTTACAGCAATCATGGTCACGGGAGAGACTAAGGTTTTAGACGCAATGCAAAAAACCGTAAATTTGAACTTCAATAGGTTGGAAAAAATTGTTAGTAGAATGTTTGAACAAAAAAGAGTAATAAAGACACATTATTTCCTGATATAACTCATATGTATATTTCATTTTCTTTTATAATATATCTTGATCCTCCAAATATAGTTTAATGAATCATTGACTAAATATTATTAAAATTTATTAATGTTTTCATTATTGTATTCTGATTGTTATTATTATTTTTAGTTTTAACTTTAATTAATCACCTACCTTATACCAATTTTGCCTTGTCACTTGTGCTCTAATTTATGTTATATTTTTAAGTGGAAACTTCGCTGGTTTATATATTATTTATATTTGATTAATTCTAAATGTTATTGTACTGTATGTTTTCCAAATATTTTAAAAATAAAAATAAATAAAATAAATATTGAATATAATAATTCGACTCAATGGAACTTTTTGTAGTAAATTTAATACTAAAAACGGTCCATTCATTCATTTTTTTGAAAAATATTTTCGCCACAGTTTGCAGGACAAAAAAGTGTTAAAAATCATATTTTCCATATAATTTGTATGGGAAAACTTAAAATTCGATGGAGAACCTCTTAGAATTGGAATTTTGAGCTCCGCTTTTAACAGGAGCTTTGTTGGGATATTTTCTGAGATATTTTGGGGAGGGAGCTAAGAAAAAATATATAATGCCATCACTATTATAAATTTTATCGCAAAAAAAAAGTATCCTCATCAAATTCTAAAGGTCCCCACTGTAGGGGCACAGCCTACCCATTAAGAGTGTAAGTATAGCGCTAAAAAAATTCAAATTATTCACGTTACTATAAAACTGCAAAACTAGTTCATAATGGCAACCCCCGACGGATATGTTTGAGTTTATCTCACGTTACATTTATTTCTTAAGTCGAGGGTTTTTAAATTATTTTATCCTTTTACAATTACTTTTTAACCGTCGTGGGTTTTTTTCAAAATTTTTAATTTTACTTTTTATAAAACCATTTTTCTCTTTTATTAATTTTACACAAAGTTCAATAGCACATCACAAATATGTATAATTGTATCTAAATTGACATTTGTTTGGACTAATCTTCGTTACTCCCGATAGGGATCCATAGGTGTAACTATATTATGATTTCAAGTTAATTAGAGTGGCCATTTCAACTACTCTAAGTATCCAACCGGCGACAATACACGTACCTATTTTGTGTATCTTCCATAAACGATTAAATTGATTTTGCATTATACTGCACTATAAAAAAAAATCTTAAAGCTTATGGAATTTTTTTTATAGTATTCTGAATTAGTGCTTGACTACGTTCCACCTGATGGTAAGTGGTAACGTAGTCGTAGATGGTAAGTCGCACTAATTCAGTAGCCATCTATTCACTCTTACCTTGAAGACACCCATGTTATAATCGGACGGAAACACCGACGCCGGCAGGTTGTTCCAGTCCTTAGCCGCACGTATAATAAATGACGTTGCGAAACGCTTCGTGCGGACGGATGGAATGTCCACGACATAAGGATGGAGACCAGCCATTCGTCGGGTTGTCCGATGGTGGAAAGGGGATGGAGGAATTAAGTCGTGTAGTTCCCTCGCATACTCTCCGAAATGTAACCTATAGAATACACAGAGGCTGGCAACCCTACGTCGGTGATCGAGGCTTTGTAAGTTAGCTTTTACCAGCGTAGGGTCACCTATAAGCCTGTGAGCACGCCTCTCAATTGAGTCCAAGGCTGACTGATGACATGAATAATGAAGAAGTACTGGCTTTGGCTTTAGATTTCTAATTTAGAGTAACTTTTAGAAGTAAAAGTACTTTATACTACTGACGTTTCGTAACAAGATGAACATGGCGTTTAAATTTGTTTTTGAAGATAAAATTACCTTTAAATGTTTTCCAATATACATATGTGCATTGTACAATGTACATAATATATAGTAAGGTATAAGGTAATAAAAACAATAAGATTCATGTTATCTATACATATAATAAAATTGTAACTGAGCCGAATCTGTACATTAAATATTTGTTGAAAATCTTATTGAAATAAACATTATTATCGATACAGAGGCCGAATCTATAGTTTTTAGAATTTTTATCTGTCTGTCTGTCTGTTACCGCATCACAGAAAACCACTGGAGGGATTTTAATGAAATTTGGTATGGTGATAGCTGGTTATCCGGGTCAACATATAGGATACTTTTTACCGCGGGAAAATATTGCATTTCTGAGAAAAAATACAAAAACTGCATTGTAAGGGTATATTAATATGTAAAATCTAAGAATTTGGTTTTTGGTCATCTGAACGCGGGCGAAGGCGCGGGCAATGCTAGTCTGTAATATAAGTAAAAGTTATTCATATGTAGAAAAGCAAACACAATCAATATTAGTATAAATGCGTGAGTTGTAATATTACGATAAGATATGTAATACACAAATTAATAATAATAATAGGCAAAGTTGCATCCAAGGGAATGATTTTCAACACATAAAACTTGCAGGAACGAGCTTCTGTATAATTGATGAATCGTTGAATTTCTTTCAATTTATTTTGATCTGCAAAAATATATAACATTACTTTTTACATTGTCATTTTTTTTTCAAAAAAACGTCTATGGATAAATCTATAAATTATTATATATTAATTCGAAATATTGCTATACATATAATATTCAATAAAAAATCAAATAACCTCACCGTTTTCTTCCAGCATAGAATTATGCAGAGTTATTCTAATTTTATCCACTTCAGTCGGTAACGATGATGCGGCTAATGATGGAGCGAAAATTACAATCATTAATGACACTATAGAGATACACCTCATTGCACATTCATCTGATGATATCTGCAAAAAATAACAACTATTATCAAAAATAAATCAAAAATATAAGAGACAAATACTCTATTATTTTTTTGTCTTTAGAGTTTAGTTTCGGTGGACTCCAATAACACCCCCCACCCCTGTTAACTCCCCCACGAAGCCAAGAAACCCACTGGGAGGTTGCCCTTTGGTGTATGGTGTACCATGCGGGTTGCTCCTGGTACTTCTCTGATAGCAGAGTGCACTATTTGAGTAACTTCATGCGTGCTGTGATCCGTTTCGACAGATCTGCCGTCGGGGCATCGTGGTTGAGTGCGCAAGCAATCCTGCGACGCCCCATTGAGACTGGAGAGGTTTTGTTGCGTTTTAGTGGGTACTGGCTTTTCTAGCCGACGCTTTGTCCCACACAATCACCTGCATTGTCTACAGGTGGTATGCTTAAATGCATATGCTTAAATCCAACATCAAACATAAGGCCAAAGTCTCTACAAATACACGAAAACCAGTCAAACGACAATTTTCTAAAACAAGTGGAGATTCTGGGAAATTGAGATCATTACCAAAATAGAATAATTCACCTTGTGTCATCAATTAGAACGTACGAAAAAGGACAAGAACACAAAAGAAGTATCTTACCATATTCATTTTAACATCACTCAATATTTCATATATTATGACCATCACACTCGGCACGTTGAAGAGTAATGTTACAATCACCTGAAAATAATTGTTACAATATATTTTTTGTTTGTTTTTTGTTTACAATTACGACCCAGGAACTTTCATAGCAAAGTTTTTTGACTACTTTATGGAAAATTAATTAATTACATTGTATGTATATAACTTACCATAGGTTCGAATGATTTTTTGACAGTTTCAGTAAAATCAACGAGTGATTTATATGTACGCTGGAGTTCTAATGCTTCAAGATTTTTATTTTGAATACATTTTTGAATACAAACAAGTCGACGACGGACTAGGTGAAATGTGAAAAATATTACAATAAAAGGTAAATCCATTGACATAAAGGGTATTAACGATGCAATATGTGACCATTGATTCACAACACACTCTCCATATATAAAGCAGTATATTGACGTTGCAATAAATTTAAATATAATAGATATGAGGCACCATATAATTATCTTAAAACGAAAATATCTGGACGAATTTACACCAAGTTTTGAATCGATTGATTCTAAATTTTCTATGAAGTTACAAAAGGAGTTTTGCTGTGGATTTAACGCCAAAATTACAATGTAACTTATATTTTCCATAAGATGTTTCAAGTACCACAAATCAAAAGATTTGATCTTTTCAGGCTCATTAATCAATAGCATGAAGCATTGAATATTAACAAATACAATGAAAGCAGCGATCAACAATTTAACTATGTATGTATGCTGAGTTTTTTTATATTTAATAAATCCAAAATCTAAGCCAAATGTAATGTGCAATATTATAAAGAAAACTTTCATGCTTTTTGATACGCAGATAGTTTTAATTTTGTGATTACTATTTACTGTGTTTAAAGACTTCACTTCAATCATTGTTGTTTTTAAAAGAACCATTATTATGTGCTTACGACTTCGATGTCTCTATAGTATTAGCACTTTCATCAAGGTAATGAGGTTGCTTCAATTTCATTTTCATTCAATTATATTAATCACCTTTTTATTTCATCAGTCAAGTAAATAAAAACAAATAAATTATACATACAGTCTTGCCCTAAAGTGTTGTTACAAAGAAAAAAATTTTTTTTCTACTGCACGTATCATTTATTACTATTACAGTGTGTTAGTTTAATACATTAATATAAAACTATTAAAATATATATAAAGTTTATTCGAAGTGGCTTCCATTGGCTGAAATACAATCCTTTGAACGTTGAGGCCAGTAATCAATAGAAGCACGCCCTCTTTCCTTGGGAAAATTCTTCACTGCCAATCGTATGGATTGTTTTAGGGACTCCAAATTATCATGGCATTTAGAGTAAGCCATACTCTCTTAAACTGACCATAAATCATAATCCAGCGGATTAATATCGGAACTAGATGACGGCCAGACTTCAGCTCTGATGAAGTCCGGAACGTGGGTTTCTAACCAAGATTGCGTGGATCGAGCTTTATGACCCGGAGCCAAGTCTTGCTGAAAGAACCTTTCTTGGTTATTGAACATGGTGTTGTTAAGGGACTTAACTATACCTTCTCAAGAAGGGTATCTTGATGCACTTGTGCCGATTTTTGATACCTTTTTCACAAAAACATGTCTCAGTCACTCCTTCATAGCTAACACCCATCACTGAAGTCGGATAAAGCCCACGTTGTACTCTGTTGACTAATTGGGAAGCTTCCTTAGAGCTTTGAGCATAAATACGGTCATTTTGTTTGTTGAACATATTGCTCAATTGTAGAAATTTTCTCATCCGTATACAAAATTCTTCTGTGACCTCCCTTTGCGTACCGCTTAAGTAGTTGTTTTGATTTTACCACCCTATTACTTTTTAAATTATCAGTTAAGAAATGACCAGTACGTGTCTTATAGGCTGCAAGTCCTAAGTCATCTTTTAAAATACGCGACATGGTTCTAGGTGCTTTCTTCATCTCCCGAGATAAAATCTTTTGCTTTCGGACAGGATTTCTTCGAATTCTTTCCCTTACTGCTTTGACCGCCTTTTTCGTACGAACAATACATGGACGGCCAGATCTTTTTCTGTCACAAACATAGGAGGTTTCATTGTACCTATCTATAGCCCGGTAAACAAACATTTAACTAATCCCAAGCGTATGGAGAGTTTTAAAAATTGTATTTGGCTCCATAACTACTTTGTGTAATGTAATCACAGCGATTCGGTTCTCTTTATCACCCCACTCCATTCTAATATCACAAAATATTTTACATATGTCAATTATATATATAATCAATTATACTATGTACATTACACATATTCGCTTATGTATAATATATTTTGTACATTTTACAATTCAAATATTTATTAAATGACTTCTATGTTGCGCACAATATCAAGTAGATACAAATTTTCTCATTTATAACAGTAGTCCAATTTCAAATAGGTGTGTTATATGAAGTACTCGTATATTCACAGATTCTCACAAAATTGTCTTATACGAAATAGAGAATTGAAATAGTAAATTTATTGGTATCAATAATATCTTTGGTACAAGAAAATTGAATAATTACAGTTTTAGAATACTAACGTTATCTGAGCATGACCGTATACATAACTGCCTAATATCCATCCAAGGCCATAGTCAGTTCCAGTGTATGCCACCCACACGGAACGGTGGCGACTCCGGCTTTACAAGTCAGTCAGCAAAAGGATTGCAACAAATTTTCGCAACTTATCGGTAAAAGGCGTGTTTGTTTCTGGTCGGATGATCCAGTGTATGGTGTTGATTGCTAGTGATGATTGGGGATACGATCTTACAGGGAATAAAATGAAATTTCTAATTCTAGCATTCTTTTGAGGAATATATCCATACATATTCTTCCCCAAACTGTGCGACGTGTAAACGTTTCAAGAAAAGATGTGATCATCCAACCGGGGATGTTAACTGCTCAGCACGTAAATACGCCGAGGACAAGTATACAAGTATATAAATTCAATACATTATGATGCCTAAGAGCGCCTCCAATTACCTTAACTAGTCTGCACTTTAACACTTGCTTTTACTTTATTTCTATTTTTTTGTATTCTCTCCCTTGGATAATTTTTCTACATAATGTTCGTAGCAAATATCGAAATTTTAATGCATTAGTAGTTTTGTTACATAATTTTGACATTAGTTGGGACATTATTGTTTTAACGGAATGCTGACTCTCAAAGCAGATAAACCACTTACCATCTGTCGACAATTATTTATCAAAAGATGGTTTAGTAATCGAAAAAAAAACAAAAAGCTTGTCAATAAAAGAACCAATATTCCAGGAAACTCACTGTTTAAACATAACAAATCTTGAAAATGATGTTCTAAGCATTTTTACCCAGTTACTCAAATCTAAAGCCTTTAAATTATATTATTGAATTATTACAATATGTAAACAAAATATTTACGCACGCTGCTGACGCTGCATACACTTGTCTCACATTTACTAAATCTGAATATATGAAATATCTAAGTAAGTATTACCCTTGACACAGATCAGAAATCAGAATTTTTCGACATCATATCTAATTCAGACATCCCTTTGATCATAGTTATAGGTTTTATATACGTTTATTTTTAAGAGATTTATTGTACATTATAATAAAATTCTAAATTTATGAAGTATAATTTATAAAAAATGTATTACGTAAAATAATAATATCGACATTTCTATATGTCTAGTTATTATATTAATGTAAGTTTCATACTTGTCCTCTTATATATAAGTCTTAAGTTTTATCTTTGTCCCAGTAAGAAATGCATTGTAAAACCGTACCCTGAGACAGATTTTTAACCTATAAAGTTCAGGTAGGTTCCAAATTAAATATTGGAGCTACTCTATCTGTTAATAATTTATATTATATAACTTTGTAAAAACTGTATGAGAAAATTATTATTATATTATGTATTACTATATTATTTTACTATAACGTTTAAAACCGCCGAAAAACTAAGAAAATTCCTATTTGACTATGTTGATACTTTACCTGAGTTGGTATTTTCAACCGACTTCAAAAAGGAGGAGGTTCTCAATTTGACTGTATTTTTTTATGTTTGTTACCTCAGAACTCCGTCATTTATTAACCGATTTGGACAATTTTTGTGTTGTTTGAAAGTGTATACTTCCAGATTGGTCCCATTTAAATTTAAAAAAAAAATACCACCCCTAATGGTGGAAAAATAGCTAATGAGGAATTTAACCTACTTCTAATTGTCATATTGACTTGAACCTTTGCAAGTGTTTCTATTTCCGTTGATAGTACAGTGGCTCGGTATTGTTAACGTGATCTGATGGTAAGGCCAGAAGGTGGATAGGTGGAACTCTTCAACGGCTAATAGTAGATACTTTGAGTTTGGGCTTGTTTTGTTTGATTTGACAAGCCTAATACGTTAGAATTCTTACTTTGCTACTACTGTCTACACTAAAAAGGTATGTATAGTAAATGAAAACTACCAATCAGTTATTTTTTACTTTTTAGTGCTTTTGTTTGAAGTCGGTTTTTATTTTTTTGTTAAAAAGTTTTTTTCCTTTACGCTTACGTATTTATATGAATATTTTCTATTTTTGATATAAAATGGCTATAATATCGAAATCGGGCAAGATACGAAAATGCCTGACAAAAAATGCGCAAAAATTATATTATGTATTATTTTAGTATTGTTTATTTTCAATAATCATTAGTTAAGAAAGCTAGTGATATTAAGTGAAAACCTCACGTAACAATAAACATATGAAGCAGATATAGGTAGATCCTCGTTTGCCAACCCGCACTTAACTACGTGGTGGACTATGGTCTGATTCCCCTTCGCATTGAGTAGAGGCCCGTGCCTAGCAGTCGGACGTTAAAAATGGCTGAATAAAAGCTAGATCCTATAAAAATTAATGTTCTAAAAAGAAATAGATAGATACAAGTTGGATAGTAACATATTCTTTATTCCGGTGATGGTAAAATAAAAGTACAATATCAAAGGTGACGATATTTATTTCACATAAATTATACACACTATGTTCATAATTGAAAATTCATATTAATTCATAGAAAACAGTCAATTTTAGTATAAATGCGTTAGTTGCAATACTACGATAAGATATGTAATACACAAATTAATTATAATAATAGGCAAAGTTGCATCCAAGGGAATGATTTTCAACACATAAAACTTGAAGGAACGAGCTTCTGTATAATTGATGAATCGTTGAATGCCTTGCAATTTATTTTGATCTGTAAAAATATATAAGGTTACTGTTACGTGTCTAATTTTTAAACCGACTTCCAAAAACGAGGAGGTTCTCAATTTGTCGGAATCTTTTTTTTATATATGTTCACCGATTACTCGAAGACGCCTAAACCGATTTGGATTTTTTTTATTTTGTTTGAGAGGGTAAACTTCCCAGGTAGTCCCATATAAATTTTATCGAAATCGGTCAAGCGGTTTTTAAAAAAATCAACAATAAATATATTTTTTAAACAAATTGTTTAGTCGAACATGTTATTAAAAACTTTCTTGATACAAATTACCTGCTTATTACGTCTACACTAAAAGTATATAAATAAAACTTATTAAAAAAAATAACACCGACTTCCAGGCACTAAAATGTGTAAAAAATAACTAAACGGGGGTTTTCATTTAGAATAGATACCTAATTTGATATTTTCGAAGTCGGTGCCAGCGGACAATATTTTAAGATATGAATATCTAATAGGTAAATATGTATTTTACGTATCAAAATATATTAGATTTCCTATGCGTCGGCTGGCACCGACTTCGAAAATATCTGATTAGGTATCTATTCTAAATGAAAACCCCCGTTTAGTTATTTTTTACATTTTAGTGCCTGGAGGTCGGTTTTTTTTTAAGTTTTTATTCATAAAAATGTTTTTAGATTAATCCATGAAAAATTCTAATATATTGTTGTGATATAACGAATAAAATATCAGTTATTCTCACCATTTTCTTCCAGCACAGAATCATGAAGAGTTATTTTAATTGTGTCCACCTCAGTAGGTAACGACGATGCGGCTATTGATGGAGCAAAAATCACAATCACTAATGACACTATTGAGATACTCTCCATCGCAAATAAATCTGATCTTATCTACAAGAAATTATCAATATTACCCGTATGTATTACCAAAATAGCAAACAAAAACAATAATTTATCTCTAATAAAGATCTCAATGCCTAAACTGTATCTTCTCTCATTATGAACACACTGACTACCAGTTACAGTCGACAGAGAATTACTTCAACTATATGAAAATTAGTCGAATGACAATTTTCGAAGTAACGCAAGAACGAAAAAGTGCCATATGGTTAGTTCATTCTCATATAATGTCAATCTCCAACCCTCCAACTATCTCCACACAAAAAATCATGCCAATCCATCAATCTTTTTCGACGTGAAAGAGGAACAAACAAACAAACACTCACTTTTATAATATTGATATGGATATGAAGAATATATTTACAACACATATTAGTACATATATGTACTTAAATACTTATTATTCAACATCAGATATTATTATCAATTATAACAAACGAAAAAGAGTACAAAAAAAGTGTTTTTTTTTTCTTACCACATTTAGCTTAACGCACTTGAGCATTAGATATATTACGATCATCACACTGGGTACGTTGAAGAGTAGAGTTATAATTATCTGAAAATCAATATTACCTGTTGTTGTTATGTTTATTTTTTGTTTACAGTTACGACCTTAGGATCTTTCATAACGAAAATTTTTAACTACTTTCTGGAAAAATAATTACTTACACTGTATGTATATAACTTACCAAAGGTTCGAATGATTTTTTGACAGTTTCAGTAAAATCAACGAGTGATTTATATGTAAGCTGGAGTTCTAACGCTTCAAGTTTTTTATTTTGAATACATTTTCGTAAAGCGATAAGTCGACAGTGGACCATTTCAAATGTGAAAAATATTACAATAAAAGGTACATCCATTGATAAAAAGGGTATAGTAGACAAAACTTGCGACCATAGAACCACAATACAGCCTTCAGATTTTAAGCAGTACGATATTGTCAAAATAAATTTAAATGTAAGAGATATGAGGCACCAAATAATTATCTTAAAACAAAAATATCTAGACGTATGTACACCAAGTTTTGAATCGATTGACTCCAAATTTTCTATGAACTTAGAAAAAGATTTGTGCTGTGGAATACATGTCAGAATTACAATATAAATTATATTTTCAATAAGATATTTCAAGTACCACAAACTCATAGAGCCGAATGTTCCAGACTCATCACTCAATAGTACAAAGCATTGATAATTAACAAATACAACGTAAGCAGCGATCAACATTTTGACTATAACTGTATGCTGAGTTTTTTTATATTTAATAAACCCAAAGTCTAGGCCAAATGTAATGTGCAATATTATAAAGAAAACTTTCATGGTTTTTGATACGCAGGTATTTTTGGTTTTATGATCACTATTAACTTTGTTAAAATTCTTTACTTCAATCATTGTTGTATTTTATAGAATTATTGTTATGTGCTTACGACCTCAGTATCGCTATAGTATAACACTTTTGTCAAGTTAGTGCAGTTAATTCAATTTTCATTCAATTATGTTAATAGCTTCACTATATTTTCATTTGTCATGTCAATACAAACAAATTAATATCTATGATTCAAATCTATATACACGTACATATTATATTGTACATGTACATATATGTATTTTGTATATTTTACAATTTAATTACTTATTTAATGTAATCTATGCTAGGTGTTAGTTGGAACAATCTGGCCAATGTTATGTTAAATACATGAGTCTCACTGGAGATTAGCCGGTGCTATTTAAAATTAAATCTATAAAATGCTGGTTTTATAACTAAACAGTATGTATTCAGCCCTTTTTAACGTCCCACTGCTGGGCACGGGCCTCCCTTCAGTACGAGGGGGATCAATCAGGCCATAGTCCACCACGCTGGCCAAGTGCGGGTTGGCGGACTTCACATGGCTTTCGAAAACTTGCTAAGTTCTCTAAGACATGCAGGTTTCCTCACGATGTTTTCCTTCACCGTTAAGACAAGTGGTAATCATTTTTGGAAATGATTCGCACATGATAATATCAGAGGTGCGAGACCCGGGATTTGAACTCGCTTCACTCGGTTTCCCAAGCGAGCGCGTTACCACTGGGCTACCACTGCCTTAACTAAACAGTATGAGCTGATAAAAACATTTATTTGTTATACCTCCACAAATAAGGGACTAAATGCAAACATCAATAAACATTATGGTGAGAGGAATTCAAGGAGGGCATCAAATTTCTACAGTTACTTCCAAAAAACAAGAAATGACGTATGGAAATCTTAGTTAGGACAGTTCAATTCAACGAGGCCATAAAATATGGAAAGAAAGCAGTAATGCGTTGCAAACTAATATTTGTTTCGATAAACATTGATTGATTTGGATGATTAGAGGTAAAAAGAGAGACTAATTTGTCTGCTTTGTAAAGTCAAAGTAAGTAAGCCATAAAGACTACTGATTGAACTGACATCAAGTTAGTCCATTAGGATAACTACGAAATCTCTCCTAACATTCGTCTAAAATGGTTCACTTAGATTCATAGACTTTAAAAAATATATATTTATAACTAGCATTGCCCGCGGCTCCGCCCGCGTTTAGATGACCAAAAACCAAGTAAAATAGCGCTACTGTAATTTTTTTAAGATAAGCTATTTTTAATAATTTTTGCTTTATTTAGTAAGCTATATATAGTATCGTCGTGGTTTTATTTTAACCACTTTTTGTATTTTTTCTCAGAAATGAGATGTTTTCTCGCGGTAGTAAGTAAGTATCCTATGTGATGATTCGGATAACCAGCTATCTATATATATATACCTAACCAAATTTCAACAAAAACCCTCCAGTAGTTTTTGTGTGATGCGGTAACAGACAGACAGACAGACAGACAAAAATTCTAAAAACTATAGATTTGGCCTCTGTATCGATAATAATGACTATTTCAATAAGATTTTCCAAAAAATATTTAATGTATAGATTCGACTTAGTTAGAATTTAATTATATGCCTATACATATTAATCTTCAAAATTTAACATATCTACGCTGTCATGAAATTCTTCTCCGTCATAGATGCTACATATGATACTTCAGCAGGTTATAGCATCAGGGCATTCCTGGTCATCTTATTGTTTTTCAAGCAATTGAATTGTGAGGAGACGATATCAATGAAAAATAAAAGTTGTAGGTCTTTTCCAATTTAATCGTAGTGTTAACAACAACAAGAAATAAGTGAAATTATTTATACGTAGAAAACACAGACAATACCTATTAGTATAAATGCGTTAGTTGCAATATTACTATAAGATATGTAAAACATAAATTAATAATGATAATAGGCAAGGTTGCATCCAAAGGAATGATTTTCAATACATGAAATTTAAATGGACGAGCTTCGGTATAGTTGATGAATTGTTGAATATCTTGCAGTTTATCTTGATCTGTGAAATATTAACATTACGTTATATAGTACAATTTTTTATATATTTTCATTGTCATACAAACGAAAGTCATAACTCCTCACCACTTTCATCCAGCATTGTGTCATACAGAGTTTTTTTGATCTTGTCCACATCAGTAGATAAAGACGACGTGGCTATTGATGGAGCAAAAATTACAATCACTAATGATACTATTGTGATACTCCCCATCACATGTGAAGCTTGCTGCAAGAAATGGGAACTATTACCAAAGCTACAAAACAAAAACGTAAAATCATTCACCAATATACCTATATAAAAGCCTTTTTCTGAAAGAATTAGGTTTCCTCCAATTATACATTGTACTAAAATTAGAAGAAAATGGTGCAGTTTAAGCCAACAGTACCTATCTATGTTCTTTCTATCATCCATTTTTATCCATCATATTGTAATAGGTATTATTAATATTTAATATTATAAATCAAAAATAATATTTGTCAATTTTTGTCATTGATTCACGCATCATAGGAATACCAAAACTAATAGGAACTAATAGGAACTAAATAGGAAGAGCCAAAAAAACTGCATTTGACCCTGGTAACACGTAATGTACGTGGAATATTAACTAGAACAATCCTTTACAACAATGTAAGATGCAAGGTCTAATTTTGCATGGCAGACTATTATTTGCATTGTCAAGATGATGCTTATTCTGATTCTTAAAAGATATCCAAAGAGTTGGGTGTTTTATGTGTTTTAACTTACCGTATTCATTTTAACGTCCTTTATTATCTCATATATTATGATCATCACACTCGGTACGTTGAAGAGTAAAGTAATAATTACCTGAAAATGTTACAATATTTTAATTAATTTATTTTTTACTATAACGATCCAAAAACTTTACACAATTACATTTTTAAAATAAAATTTTACTTACGCTGTATAATCACACTTACCAAAGGATCGTAGGATTTTTTGGCAGTTTCAGTTAAGTCAATGAGTGATTTGTATATACGCTGGATTTCTATTGTTTCAAGATTTTTATTTTGAATACATTTTTGAATAGCAACAAGTCGAGAACTGACTAAATGAAATGTGAAAAATATTACAACAAACGGTAAATCAATTGAAAGGGAGGGGATAGTAGATACAATATGTGACCAAATATTTGCAGCACACTCTTCATTTCTTAAGCTGTAGTATGTGATTGTTGAAATAAACTTAAATGCAAGAGATATGAGGCAACAAATAATTATCTTAAAACAAAAATATCTAGTAGAACGTGCACCAATTTTGGAATCGATTGACTCTAAATTTACAAGATATGTAAAAAAAGATTTGTGGTGTGGAATAAATGCCAAAATTGCAATGTAAATTAGATTTTCAATTAGATGTTTCAAGTACCACACATTTTCCACAACGGATATTTCATTATCATTGCTAAATAGTGTGAAACTTTGATAATTAGCGAATACAATATAAGCAGCGATCAATAATTTGGCTATGATTGTATGCAGAGGTTTTTTATATTTAATAAACCCAAAGTCTAGACCAAATATAATATGCAACATTATAAAGAAGACGTTTAATGTGGTATTAATTAGGTTATTCTTGATATTATTACTGTCAGCCACATTATAAGGTTCCACTTTAACCATTGCAATTTTTTAAATAAATTATCTTCAAAGAGGTTCAACTATTTATTTATTCCGAGTGAAATTATACTGTGTATATTACACATCGGTTTGCTTAGAAGCACATTCGTCAAGTTGAATGTAAAAGTTGAATCGTTTAATTGTATTAATTGCTTCAATTATTTTATTAATACCTTAAAAGCAATATTCAAATGTGTTTTATTTTATGATATGAACATGTACATATATATTTTTTTTTAGAAGTTTATTGTTAAATTATGGGATTCGAAAGACCTGATTGACGGAAAATCTTTGTAAAAATCTTTTCATATTGATTTAATTTATAAAAAAATAATAAATGTGGAGTTGTATATAGAACATTTTCTGTTTCTTTTTAATTTTACCATGAGATTCCAAATTTTTTTTCTACTGTTTAACCGGAAGTAAATTTTAAATAAATTTTCATTTTTATTTCAATTTTATTCACTGCAAAATAAAGGTTTAATGTTTTATTTTGATTTGATTACTACACATATTTTGGATTAAAAGATTAATTTTTAACATTATAATTATACAAATAAGTAAGACAATAATACGTAATTAATAATATTGAAATATAATTAAGGTTTTAATGTGTATTCTTGTCATAACCAGTCGGTTTTGACAAGCAAACGTTAGTGTGTAAAAACTACGTACGTAGTTCTTTGGTGCCATTTTCAATGAGTAAGTATAGATACTTTGACATCCACACTAAACTTACACTACCTTACCTGAAATCTATAATGTTCTATGTCATCATTGAAAAATGCAT